CTCCACCCCCACCCCCACCCCAGAGAGAAGTGGGCTGCATCTGACAGCCCTGACGCTGACGAAGGTACATGCTCTCTGGTGTGTTCTCTCTGCAAGCCCTGAGCTCTCCAACGAGCCTGCCCCTGGAGAACTGAACTTTGTCTCCAAACAGCTGATGGCCTTGGAAGTGACAGGCGCTTTCCATGCATGATCTCATTTAATCCTTAAAACACCTAGAAGTTGGTTCTATTAGTGCTCCCCAGTCAGTGAAACTGAGGCTGTGAAGAGGTTAAGACAATTTCGTGCAGCTCCTGACAGGATTTGAACCCAGGACTGACCAGCTCCCAAGTGCGTGCTCTTGCTCGCTATCTGCAGTCCTGGAGCATACCCTTCCCTCTGGCCCAGCCTCCTCCCTGCAGTCCTCCTCTTCCCCTCTTTTCTCCAGGACGAGGGAAGAGCCGGCGACAGAGCATCTTCTGAGCTGCTCCCACCCTACTGCGGCTGGAGGGATAGAAGGTCACACTGAGCACAGCTGCAGGCAGGGTGGGCTTATGCGACCCTTGGAAGACTGAGGGGCGGGGGCAGGATGGCCCAGAAGACCTCTTGCAGCCCTGCTGGCCACAGCTGGGTCTTGTCCCTGCTTCCCACATGTTCCCCCACGGACACCAACCCCTGCATCACCTGCCCTGGGAGGAGGTGACGGGGGAAGGAGGGACCACAGACACTTTCCCATCCCAAAGTCCTGCAGCAGCGTGGGACCCACAGGGACTGGAGAACCCAGCTGCCGGGTTGAGCACTATGCCTTGGGCATGCCCCGCCCCCAGAGGCCTGCTTGTCTCACGAGTTTGGTGGAACCCCTTATGGACCCCTCCTTCACCTTCTCCCCCTCTGAGAGCAGGAAGTGACATGGCACCTTTTCCAGGACCCTGGAATCCTGGGTGCCAGTGTGTGTGCCAAAGCCCACGCCTACCCCCCCCAGCTGAGAGGCGGATGTCCCCAGCGTGAGGGGAAATAGTAGCCCCACCCCCACTTCCAATCATCATCCTACCCCGTTCCCACTCCCCCCTCCTCGCCAGAGGCCCCATATGCTGCTGGATGCTCCGCTGAGTCCGGAGGTGGCCTGGCACGGCCAGCTGCACTCCACCTCCGCCACCCCACCCGTCTCCCTAGTCCCTAGTGTGAATGGGATTGCCTTAAGCTGGTGGTTGGTAGAGCACTCACTGCCCTTGGAGCTCTGACCCAAGCTCCTGCCTGTCCACGCTTCCCAAGAGCAGCTCCTGCTTATCACACCTGAGTGCTGATAAGCCAGCCCTGGGCCAGGGTCCTGAGGGCAGCACCCAGATATGCAGAGTCACCCCAACAGTGGTGCCAGGCTGGCCTTGGCTCCTTGGGGCTGGCACAGCCTCCCTGTCCCCTCCTTCCCAGCCCCTGTGGCCCTGTCCTTGCTCCACCTGATCCTGGCACCAGCCTTCCCAAAAGGTCAGCTTGAGGTAGAGGACACTGGGCTGAGACAGGACAGGCTTTGATCCTGAGAGCCCTGCCCCAGGGGGCTAGAAGTAGGAGGGGCCTTGGCCCCTGCAGAAGGTGTTCCTCAGCACCCTTCCAGAGCATGCCTGCTGTGTCCCCAAGGACAGCTCAACACTTGGCTGAATCTTGAACAGCAAGGCCAAGGGGAGGCCAGGCCCACCTCCCTACACCAGCCCCTGCCCAGCCCAACCCTCTCCCCCTGAGGAGCAGCCCTGGAGGGTCCCTGCCTCCCTCAGAGTCCCTCCACTCATCGCCCATAGTACTGTGAATGGCCTGGGACTCACCACAAAGATAGATGACGTATTTAATTCATGTACAGAACGGAGCCGCATGCTCATGCAGAAAAGCTGAATTTGACAGAATGATGCCAAAGATGGAGGCCTTCTCTGGGTCAGAAGTGCTGGTGGACATGTGTGTGTGTGTGTGTGTGTGCGCGCGCATGTGTGTGTGTAACGTGGAGAGAGAGTTTGGTTTGTGTAGGAGGGGTGCCCTGTACCTTCCTACACACCTGGGCTGTAGGAGGGGTGCCCTGTACCTTCCCTGCTGTATTCTGGGTGCTGCTGCGTTTAGGGCCAGAAGTCAACTCTGGGTGTTGCGGGTGGGTGGGAGGAGGCCCGCCTCCAGCCTTGGCCCAGGTGGGTGCCTGAGGAGTCCCGGCCAGGAGAGCAGAGGGCATCCCAGGGAGGGCTCTGCAGTTCGGGCTGCTGTGGCCAACCCTTGTGCTCCCCCAACCAAATGGCTCCCTGACTTCTTGGGAGGGAGGAAAATTCAAGAGGCTTGGCACGGGTGATGACCAAGGCCAGGGAAGCAAAACTAGGGTACAAACCTCACAGTAATTCTGGCCCAGCAGTGATTCCTACAAACCGTGGCCGCATCTGCCTCGCAGACTGCCTCTTACCTTGCGTCTCTCTACAACCTCTTTTCATACGCGTCTTCCAAGGTTCTCAGCATCCTGCTCTGTCTTCTAAGTCTGTGTCTAGGTTTGTTCTCCCCAAAACCCCTGGGGGAATGTGAGGTCCCTAAGCCACCCTCCTGATCTCCCCTGTCCAGTGGACTCATATCTGGCCATAAGCACTTTCCAATTTGCTGCCATGTGGGGGGTGGCTGCTTTCCAGGGGAGGAAGCTAATACCGAGAGCTTGGGTGATGTCTCCCAAGGCCCTGGAAGGAAGGAGTGGACCAGGGCTTGACTCCCGGCCACCACTTCCCCAGCCTAGACCCCCTCAGCCCTTTGCCAGTCACCAAACTGTAGGATCGGTAGGCTTCGTGACAGGGCAGCTGCCAGGAAACGCAACGGTCGGGCCTTTTAGGCTGAGTTTGGAAGGAGACTAGATGGGAACTAATGTTTATTAAGCTCCCTACTATGTACCAGTCACTGTGTGGAATCGTCTCTTGATCCTCACAACAGTCCCACTTACCCCCAGTTGCAGGGTTAAAAGACTTGTCCAGGGTCACATAGCAAATTAGAACCCCAGGTCTGTTTGCCACCCCAGGTCTTTAAGGAGGGGTAAGAGTGGAGAAGTAGACTGTGTGGAGCCCCAGGAACCGGGGAGACAAACGGAAAGGGCCCCAGAGCAGACGCAGCTTTGCCGGAGCACCTTGCAAGACCACCACTGAGTCAGGCAGTGGCCACCCACCAGTTCGCAGGGGCTCCTGCCCCTCTAAGAGTCGTCCTGGGGGGCACCTGATCTTGGTGCCATAGTTTTGGGCCTTTTGTGAAGGCTCGTGTGGGTTGAGGGACTTCAGGAGTGGGTTGGGGGACTTTAGAAGCACTTTAAGCCCCTCTCTAGAAAGCCTGGGGGCCCAGCTGGGCAGGCTCACACTATATAGTTGTTAGTGTTAAAGGCTTTCAATGGAGAAGTGACGGTTTCAGAGAAGGAAGCTGGAGCAGCCGAGGGGCTGGTTATGACCTGCCAGGGCAGAACAATTGCCAGGGCTGTGACCTGGCTCTCCAGTGACCAGACTGCCAGAACACAGGGCCTGTGGCCAGGAGCCCTCTGTTCCCGGGCACCCCCCGTCATTCCCTGCCTCCTGACACTCTTACAGTCAGGAGCCTGCCCCATTCCCCTTTAGCCAGTCATTTCCCCGCCAGCCTCGCTTCTACCGTCTGCTCCTGGGACCGGTCAGGAATGCCCAGGGCCCCAGCTAGTTTTTGCTTCCATGTGCCCACTGGCAGGAGCCCTGCAGTGCCTGATGGAAGGTTCTATTTGCAAGGGTGGTGGTGACACCAGATCACATGCCAGGCCCTGCCCCACATCAGCTCCCATGAAGATGGGACTTGGGGCTGGCTCTTCCTTGCCCCACCCTGCCCTTCCTGTGGGCTCCCAGTCACCCTTCTCCTACGGTCTGGTCTGGGCCCTGTGATCAGGGCTGATGCCAACAGGCCGCCACTCCCTTTGTCCTGCTAGGCTACCTGGGCCAGCCACGTCTGCTGCCAGACCTGTTTCTTTCTTTCCTTCTTGAAGTAGCTCAGCCCCTTTGGCCAGTCTTTGCCCAGAACCCTGCTTCCAGTCTTGGCACTCCACAGCACCCCATGAGCCCCTCTTGAGTGGCAGGCAGCTGGCTCCCACTTCCCACTGGCCGTGGCTCTGAGGGTCCACCTGGCAGATTCGGGAAGCACCAATGCCTGACTCCAGCTCAGATTCATTCACTCAGATTTTCTGGCAGCAGGATCCAGCATCAGGAGTTGTTAAAAGCTCCCCAGATGACCCTAATGGCAGCCAGGGTTAGAACCACCAGGTGGGGCATGGGAGGGACTCCAGATTCCTTTCTGAGGTGGGAAGCTACTGACCTCTGCTTTTAATGGCTCAGAGAGACTGACAGGAGATGTCAGTCCCTATGAGGATGGTGCTGGGGGAGTAGAGGGAAAGGCATCCCCCCAGCCTACAGACACGGGGAGGAGGCTTTGGCCAGGAGCAAAGGAAGTGGGGAGGCACCTATGCTCATGGGTTGTGCTGTGAGATCCCATTTCCCGGGTGAGGGGCTGAGGCTCTGGGCTGAGGTACCTTGCCTCGCCACACAGAATAAGGGGGATTGTTAGAATTCAAACCCAGGTCTGCCTGCCTGAGCAGTGCCCTGCTCCCTACTATACCACCTGACTGGCAGCTGGCACAAGAGGGAGGCTCCACCTCACTTGTTGGCTGGATTCCTGGGGCCTGGGAGCACACCCTCACCCCCTGTGAGCATGGCTGGTCACTGTGCCCCCACCCCACAATGTGCCCCCTGGCCTCACCCAGCCCCTTCCTCTGGATCCACTGGGCCATCCCACCATCCACCAACTCAAAGGGCAGCATTGGGCACTGGAGACCTCATTCTGCCCCATGCGGTGGCCAGCATCCTTTTTGAATCGGTGCCCAGTGTCAGTGAAGGTTCCACCTCTCCTCGGACAGAACGGATGGGGTGGAGGGCAGCTCTGATGGATCAGCCAATGCCACTTGGCCACCGCCTTCTATGTGCATCAGCTTTCTGTCCTCTCCCTCCCACCCTCCATGTCTCTCTCTCTACCTCTCTCCCCCTTTCCCACTGTTACCCCTTTTTCCAGCCCCTCCCTTCCTCTTCCTGGGGGGGGTCCTGAGTAACCCCAAAACCCAGAGATCCAGCATCTCGCCTGGCCCCTCCCCTGAGGAGGAAGCCTGCAGCCTCTCCTCACTGTCCACCCCCAGCCTCCGGTCCCAGAGGAGTTCTCTTGACTTCAAGCATCATTCCTTTCTCCTGCACCCTTGTCCATTTCCTGGGATGTCAACACAGGCACGAGGTGCTGTGGCAGTGGCTGTGTGGCATGGGGGCGGTTCAGCTGGAGTGTGGCAGACACGTGGCTCTGCTCTCCTGGCTGCAGTTGGCACTCCTCCCCGCTCGCAGCTTCCAGCCCAGTTCATCCCCCCATCTCCTCCGAGCTCCCCCTTTCCTCAATCACTCATTACTCGCCTGAGATTCCTGCCTGCGTGCCAGGCTCTGTTTCTAGCACCTGAAGCACAGACATGACTCGGATTTAGACCCCCCTTGCAGGAGCTCAGAGGCTCAGTCAGTTAGGATGTGGTCTTTGCTTCCTCTCCTGAGGTCTCAGTTACTGGGGGAAAGGAAATTGTCCATTAGTCATTCTTTTAAAATTTACCAATTTTTTGAAAAAGATTTTAGACACAACCCAAACTCTTTATGCCATCCATGTCTGCCCAGGAGGGACGGGACTGGCTGGTTCTGGGCTCCTGGGGAGGCGTCTTGCACACCCAGGGCTCCAAAATGCATGGGCCCGGATTTAAATCCCAGCTCTGCTGCTTGCAAACTTTGTCACCTTGGGCATGTTACTAACCTCTCTGTGCCTCAGTTCCCCCCCTTTTAAAATGAAGGTTTTAACAGCTTTTTCACAGGGTTGGGAGGATTCACGCCGCAGCGTGCTCAGGAAGTGCCAGCATCAGTACCTCTCTGCGCACCCCTCCCCCCTCTCCCCCCGCAGACATCCCAGCTTCGCCAGGGGTCCCAGTCCTGGCATGAAAATGGGGTCATACTTTCTTCTTGCTTTCTTCACCCTCGATAAGATCTTGATTAGCAAGAACGTATTGGGCATATTCTAACTAAAAGATTTTGTAAGACTTTGAGAAGACGACCTCAACCCAGAGTCTCGTCTCCAGAGAGCTTTAAGTGTAGCTGGGGAAGTAAACATGGAAGAGAGTTTACAATAAAAAGCATCGGGTCACACGTGTCACTCTAAGTGGATAAGCTGCCTTCTGAGATGGTGAGCACTCTGTCCCTAGGACAGTCAAGCAGAGGCCAGAGACCACTTGGAGGGAACTCCAGGGGTATGCTTGGGTCTCTCCTTTGCCTCTTGGGCAGCAGGCGAGAAGTACTCCTCAGAGAAGCTGAGAGGAATGTGGCTTCTGGGCTTGCAAACACCTTCCCCCTGGATTCCAGGATGTCCGGTCACCTTCCCACTCTGGCTGCTCACTTGGAGACCAGACTACCTTGGCCTTTCAAGACCTGGACTGACCCTAGGGTGTAGGAATAAATTATCTTGGGATTCTTAAAGCTGGAGCTGATGGGGGAGGGAGGGCTACTTTGGGAAAGGGGATGGGCCCAGGGGTTCAGGCCCAGTTCTGTTTCCTGCCTTGGGCAGATGCAAGGTTGCCCTTGGCCACCTGTTACCTACACCTCCAGGAAAGTGCTGCACTTGGCAATGGAATTGGCTGCCCC